TATTTGTGGAACATAAGGAATAGCATGGAGGACATTAGGAGAAGGAAGGGAAAAATGAAGGGGGAGAAATCGGAGGGAGAGATTAACCATGAGAGACTATGGACTCTGAGAAACAAACTGAGGGTTGGGGTGGGGGTGGGGGATTGGGTTAGCCCGGTGATGGGTATGAAGGAGAGCACAAGGGCACGTACTGCATGGAGCACCGGGTGTTATATGAAAACGATGAATCGTGGATCACTACATCAAAAACTAATGATGTATCGTATGGTGACTAATATAATAAAATAAAATTTAAAAAATAAAAAGACAAAATAACAACTGTAGACAAGGATGTAAAGGAATCAGAACCTTTGTGCACTATTGGTGAAAAAGTAAAACCATACCAAACCCTGTCGAAAACAGTATGGGAAGTCCTCAAAAAGTCAAAAATACAGTACAATTATCATATGACCCAGCAATTCCACTTCTGTGTATATAGCCAAAAGAACTGAAAGCAGCGTCTCAAAGAAATACTTGTACTCCAACGTTCAGAACAGCATTAATCACAACAGCTAAAGCATGGAAGAAACCCAAGTGTCCACTGATGGGTGAACTGGCAAGCAAAATGTGGAACACCCAAAAAATGGAATATTATTCAGCTAAAAGGGAAATTCTGACATATGCTACAACATGGACAAATCTTAAAGACATTATGCTAAATGAAATAGGCCAGTTAGAAAAATACAAGTTATACTGATTTCACTTACATGAAGTACTCAGAGTATTCAAAATTATAGATACAAGAAAGTAGAATTGTAGCTGCCAAGGGGTTTGGAAATGTGTGTGGGGGGGGGGGCGTAGAATGGGTGGGTTATTATTTAATGGGTATAAAGTTTCAATTTCATAAGAAAAAAGATACGAAGACGGATGGTAGTAATGGTTGTACATTATAAATGTACTTAATACCACTGAACTGTACACTTAAAAATGGTTAAGACGGGGGTGCGCCCGGGTGTTTCAGTCGGTTAAGCGCCTGCCTTTGGCTCAGGTCATGATCCCAGAGTCCCAGAATCGAGCCCTGCATCAGGCTCCGTGCTCAGTGAGGAGTCTGTTTCTCCCTCTTACCCTGCTCATGCTTAGTCGCTCGCTCTCTCTCAAGTAAATAAAATTAAAAAAAAAAAAGGTTAAGATCGTAAACTTTGTTATATGTACGCCACAATAAAAAAAATATTAAAGAAAAAGATGATTGGGTATAGTGGTGAACTACACAGGATATGAATGAACTGAGAGAAGAAAAAACAATTATAAGAAGCGTCACCAGAACTATGTTAAATCTCCTTTACTGTTTTTACCTCTTTGCCAAAAGGTGAAATGTTTATTACTGGATTTCACTTTTTTAGTGAAAAAATAAATGCATGGCAAGGTTGGTGATATAGTTTTTAAGATGGTCAGCTATTAGACGAAGGACAGAGGAACAGAAGGTAAGCAGGTAACTAGGTTAGGAAGATCATTTTGTGTTTGAAGATAAGACAGGCTACACTATTTTTACCTACTAAGGAGAAAGCTTCACTAGAGAGAACAGAATACAAAAAGTACCTGGTGATAGTGACCAATGCACAAGGGGAAAGGAAGTAGATTTCTGCAGAACAGCTCTTCCACTGAGAAAAGTAAAGGGTGGAAATAATGGACTATTTGGTCTAGGCTGAATAGAAAAGGATATGAACCCACAGAGTAAACAAACAGATTTGGGAAAACATAAATATATCAAGGGACTAAGTACGCCCAAAAGATTAAGAATTGATATAATAGGATTTTTTTTAAAAGCTAGAAAACAAAATATACTTGATGAAATTAATTTATTACAGTTAAAAACTAACCTTACCCTTAATAAGCTAGATATATTATTTGTCATAAGGTAAGTTTCCATAAAAGTTTTGTAAACATGATAAAAAACACAAACCACATTAAAATTCCCCATGTAATAAGATTCCCTCATATTTGTTAAATAATTTCAATGCCTCCAGAGAAAAATAATACTCAAATGTGGTATTTAGGTCTTTTCTCCTTTCCTTATTAGCATTTTTTTTTTTTTTAAGATTTTTATTTATTTATTTGACAGAGAAAGACACAGCGAGAGAGGGAACACAAGCAGGGAGAGTGGGAGAGGGAGAAGCAGGCTTCCCGCTGAGCAAGAAGCCTGATGTGGGGCTCGATCCCAGCACCCTGGGACCATGACCTGAGCCGAAGGCAGACACTTAACGACTAAGCCACCCAGGCGCCCCTCCTTATTACCATTCTTATTTACTGTTTCCTTTACCTTGATCAGCTACTTTTTGTTTTGCTTCTTCTATTCGTTTAAGTTCATGTTGTTTTGCTTCCAAGAGTTGTTTTTCTTCTTTTAAAGGATCATATTTTATTTCTACAGGAAGCATGAAAAACAATATGTAATTACCTTAAGTATAATCATTCTAAAATATATCCTTGAAAATAATCACTAATTCAAAGTCTGCAATAATTCAGAGTAAAAACCAATTTAATGTGAATTTCCAGATGCTATTTTAAATATAAAGTATCTCAAAAAATTCACGAAAAGTATTTTGAATTATCAAATATAAAGATTTTTTTCCACCCACAAATAAAAGTACTTTAAGTTATAATGTTTAAAATTTGACTTACTAGAAGAAGGCACTATGAGTAAATAAATGTCTCCCAGGACAGCTTCAACTGGTTGAGTATACAGGTTTTTCCATGGAATTATAAGATTAAGATTACCTATATGATTTTTAGAAGGACAAAAAATAATAATATTCATTCAACCGCATTTACTGCCAGCCTATTTTCTGTCAGAGATTAGAAGAAATAACGAAGTGACAAGCTGAGTCATTTTACAGAAAGCTATTTTACAACCACAAACAACAAGCCTCTGTTGTGATGATTTGAAATTGTCTATTAGTACCATTGGAAAATCTACTAAATGATATTCTAAAAATTTACCAGTTTCTCTTTATGGCAATCTGCACCACAAACATTAGTATTCTTCTGCAATTAACCAACAACTCTTGATATTATAACCCTGATTTCCCCAATTCTTGCTTTAAATCACTATAAGTATTTTTATTACACTTTCAAAAGGTAGACTATAAAATTGAAAAATGTATTTTTCATATATACAGACTACATATATACATAACATGTGTGATTATCATAAGTGTATGTATGTGCAGATTTCTATGGTAATAAAGATCGTGGACAAGATTAGAAAATCATTCAAACTAATGAAAATGTTTTACTACAATCTATCAGGAAAGTATTTTTTAAAGCATTAGATTTCTTGAACTAAAAAACATGATGTAAGGTATTCGTTATACTGATTCTATTCTTGTGATTTTAAAAAATTTCCATAATAGAGGTGAGGAGGAGGGGATGAAAAAAAGAAAATTTCCACAATAGTTTTAAAATACTTTAAAATTTTTTAGAAAGCATGAGTCAATTTAGAAATAGTTGCCATAACTGGCAAGGGAATGATTAACAACACAATGCTACATTAACTGATTAGTCATTGGGAAGGGGAAAAAAAAATTTACATAGATACATCTCATTAGATAACCTCAAAATTCCGTATTTAAACAAATCCAAATTGAGAAAAAGATTTCATCTCACATAATCAATACAGAGAAAAAGAACCAAACTATAATTTCTAAAAGACAGATGACTTTCTAAGTTTAAAAATCAGAGAAGATAATGACCATTTCAAGTTTGTGTACAGTCCAAAATATAACCAGAATGAACACATTAGAAAAGACAGTGACAAATCTGATATAATTTATAAATGTATCAGGTAGACTGCTTACACACATACACATACATTAGGTTGCTGGAGTGGAGCAGGGTGGGGGGGTGGGGTGGCTGGGTGATGGACATTGGGGAGGGTATATGCTATGGTGAACGCTGTGAATTGTGATGAATCACAGACCTGTACCCCTGAAACAAATAACACATATGTTCATAAAAATTAATTAATTCAAAAAAATCCAAAAAAGTAAACAAAAGAACAGAGAACAGTGACAAAACAGCATTAAGTAATCAAAGAAACACACACGAAGTTAATAATGTACCATTTTCACCAGTAAATCTTGAAACAAAAAAGGTTTTTCCTCTCAGTACAGACTTTTAGAAAATTTGGAAAATACACAAAAATATAAACAAAGGCAATTCCAAAAATCTTCCACATAAATATAGCTACTTTTAAAATATGTATATATTTATACTTGCTATATATGTAATTTTGCATGCTAAATGAGGGAACTTTGAAAGATCAATAAGATTAACAACACCCAATAGCAGCAAGAGGAGGGGCGCCTGGGTGGCTTAGTCAGTTAAGTGTCTGACTCTTGATTTAGCTCAGGTGATGATCTCAAGGTCATAGGATCAAGCCCCTCCGGACTCTGCATTAAACAGGGAGTCTGCTTAAAGATTCTCTCTCTCTGGCCCCTCCCCAACTCATCATCTCTCCTCTCTCTCTCAAATAAATAAAATCTTAAAAAAAAATAGCAAGGGGAAAATACGTTCCTATAAAAGTAGTTGTAATGCTATACTGCTCATTTGGAAGTGTATACTTCTTTCACTCAACATATTGTGTCCCTACTATTTGCCAGGTATTGTACTAAGTAGTGAGAATAAAAATTGAACCGACTTAAACTGTCTAGTAGAAGAAAAAAATGATACTAAAGAATGACAGATGCTAGGACAGAGGTATGCAAACAACCTCAGAAACTAACTTTCTGACTCGTCCCTAGCCACACTGGATGATGCAGACCTGACTCCTTAGACCATATACCTATGATAAATCAGAATATAGCAATAACTAGTCAGAAACCTAAGAAACCGAGATAGTTATGCTATTAAACACACTGGCCCTCAATTAACCATTTTTAACACCTAACAAGATGCGTAATTTCAGTTTTTAAACAAGGGATATATGGACCACATGGTATTTTTAAGTTACACAACTAAGTTCTACCCAGATGAGAACACATGATTTTCAATTAATACTTAGAAATATTAAAAATATCACATTAAAGAGACACTAAGCATATAATTCTTACTCTACGTCCAGCAAGGACATTCAAATAATAAGCACAGCTTACCTATATGACCAACTTTAACTTTAAATGGTACATCCAGTTGACTCTAGAAAATATCATACATAAAATATTAGTACATATACAGACCAACAAAACAGAGAACATTTTCATCCCAAAATTATTTAAAGGGTTTAAGTTAACTCACACCTTGTCTTTATCTTCCACACCTATTTAAATTTATAGATACATAATTGTAATATTCTCAAATCCACAAAATTCAGGGAGACTGATCATTTTTAAATAAATAGGGAAAACGTAATACAGACCACCTAAGTTACCCATATCAAAGTCATACTGCCTTTACGTTGTACTGGGGGGGGGGGAATTTCACTGTCAGTTTGTCCTCACAGGGAGGTTTAAACTCCATTTTGCAAAAAATATCCTCAAAAAATTTCTCCCCATCCAACAGGGAAAAGGACAACTTCTTCAGTAAGTGGTGCTGAGAAAACTCGATATCCACACAATTTTCGATAGACATATCCAAAGAACATATATAAATGGCCAATAAGCACATGATACAATGTTCAATCTCACTAGTCACGAGGGAAATGCTAAGAAAAACCAAAATGAGATACTACTTTATATCTATTAAGATGGGTATTATCAAAAAACAAAAAATAGTGCCTGGCTGGGTAAGTCAGTAGAGCATGTGACTCTTGATCTTGGGGTCATGAATTGAGCCCCACACTGGGGAGATTATACTTAAATTTTTCTAAAAAGAACATTAAAAAGTAAATGTTAGCAAAGATGTGGAGAAACTGGAAACTCCATGTGTTGGTGAGGGGAATATAAAATGGTTCAGCTACCATGGAAAACAGTAACAGTTCTTGAAAAGGCTAAACATAAAATTACCATAAAATCCAACAATTCCACTAATAGGCATTTACCCACAGGGACTGAAAGTAGGTAACTGAACAGACGTGTATTGCCAATGTTACAGCAACATTATTCACAAGAGCCAAAAGGCAGAAACAACTGGAGTATCCATCAATGTATGAATGGATAAACAAAATGTTGCTTATAGATACAGTGGAGTATTATGCAGCCACAAAAAGAAGTAATGTTCTGATACAAACAACATGGACAAACCTTAAAGGAATTATGCTAAGTGAAATATGTTGAACAGCTAATGGAAAACATAGCATGATTCCATTCATATGAGCTACATGGAATAGGCAAATTCAGGGAGTCAGAAAGTAGATTAGAGGTTAACAGGATCTACACGGAACAGGAATGGGGACTTATTTCTTAATGGTCATAGGGTTCCCTCTGACCTAGGTAAAAGTTGCAGAAAAAGATATTGGTTGATAGCTGTACAACATCATAAATGTAATTAGTATCACTGAATTCTTGGGTAAAAACATGATTACCACAGCATTAAAAAAAACTTGAGAACTATTAGAAAGATCAATTAACCATTTAAAATCATATAGAAAGAAAAGAATTAGGAATATTTTTAAATAGGGAAAATTACCAGTTTGTGGTTTTAAGGAGATGAAAAGTCCACTTTGTAAAATCCACATTTTGCAAAAATTATTTTCAAAAAGTTTTCTCAAAGCTTGAATAATTTAAGATGACAAAGTAAATCAAGAAGTCTACATATTTATAAATGCTCTGACATTACACATTTTTTATACTCAAAACCTACCAGAGGGATGCCTGGGGGCTCAGTCAGTTAAGTGTCTGACTCTTGATTTCGGCTCAGGTCACAATCTCAGAGTCATCGGAATGAGCCATGCGTCAGGCTACCCACTCAGCAGGGAATACGCTGGAGATTCTCTCCCTCTCCCTCTACCCCTCACCACCTTACACTCTCTAAAATAAATAGAGCCTAAGAGGAAAAAAAACAAAATCAAAAACCTACCAGAGCGTTTTCTTTAATTTCAAGATTCTTCAAGGCCACAGCTCCTAAGATTTAAAAAGTAAAATTAAAATATTTAAAATATTTTTCATTTTAAAAACACATACTTCATCCTTAAATGTCATAAGTGAAAAATTATAAATAATGTGCATAACAGAAAACAAAATAATCTATAATCTTATTAGCTCACCCTCATTCTTCAACTTAGTCTAAAATCGTATGTTTATCCATATTTTTTTAAAGTGGGTTATGCGATGTCTTTTTTTTTTTTTAAGATTTTTTTTATTTGACAGAGAGACAGCAAGAGAGGGAACACAAGCAGATGGAGTGGGAGAGGGAGAGGCAGGCTTCCCACTGAGCAGGCAGCCCAACGCTGGGCTCGATCCCAGGACCTTAATGGTTATAGCCCCCTGTAATGTAAACATTTTAAGCAGAATTATACAGATAACAGGACTCTAGTAAAGCCGCATAAAATACAAATATGCAAAAAAAAATGAACTGTATTTATAAATATATTTGCAATGAACAAGTGGAAATTTGTAAGATCCAGTATCAGTGAGCTTGAAGATACATATATATAAATTTCCCCATCTGAAATGCAAGGAGAAAAGTAAAAGAAAATATAACAATGTCCACGAACTGTAGGACAACTGTAAAAGCTGTAACATATGCATAACAGGAATACCAAAAGGAAAAACAGAGAAGAAACATAAATATTTGAAGTAGTAATGACTGAGAAATTTCCAAAATTAATGATAAAAACACCAAACCACAGATCCAGAAAACTAAGAGAACACAAGGCAGGGAAATAACAAAAAATCTACAACTAAGCATATCATAACCAAACTACAGAAAATCAAAATCTAAAACAAAACAATAAAACACTTGAATATGATCCAGAAATACCTCTTCTGGGTATAAGGGAAAAAAACAAAACAAAACAGGATTTTGAAAAGATTATCTGTACGCCAATGTTTACTGTAGCATTATTCACAATAGCCAAGATATGGAAACAACCTAACTGTCCATCAACAGATGAATGGATAAAGATATGATATTGATATCAATGCACACAATGGAAATTATTCAGCCATGAAAAAGAATGAAATCCTGCCATTTGTGACAACACTGATGGACTTCGAGGGCATTATGCTTAGACACAGAAAGACAAATACGATATGGTATTGTTTATATGTGATATCTAAACAGCCTGAACTCTCAGAAACAGAGAGTAGAATCCTGGTTACCAGGGGCTAGGATGTGGGGGAACTGGGGAAATTATGTTAAAAGATACAAACTTGCAACTAGGAGATGATTAAGTTCTGGATATCTAATGCACACCACAGTGCATTATAATCAACAATACTGTACTATATATTTCAAAGTTGCAAAGACACTAGATCTTTAATGTTCACACCACAAAAAAGAAATGATTATGTGACAGGACAGACGTGTTGTGAAGCTACCATCATAATCATACTGCAATGTATAACTGTAGCAAATCAATATGTTGTGCACCTTAAACTTGCACAATGTTATATGTAAATTAGGCCAACAACAACAAAAAGAAAAATCTTTTTTTTTTTAAAGATTTTATTTATTTATTTGACAGAGAGACAGCAAGAGAGGGAACACAAGTGGGGGGGGGGGGGGGGAGAGGGAGAAACAGGCTTCCCGCGGAGCAGGGAGCCCGATGCGGGGCTGGGATCATGACCTGAGCCAAAGGCAGACGCTTAACGACTGAGCCACCCAGGCGCCCCCAAAAAGAAAAATCTTGAAAAAAAGCAAAGAAAAACACACATATTCCCCGACAACGGTATAAGGAATAACTGAATTGAAAAATTCACCAGCGAACATCCAAAGCAGACTCCAACAGACAAAAGAAGGAATTAACAAACTTGAAAACAGGTCATCTGAAAATGTAGTGATGGCCAAAAAAAAAAAAAAAAAAATAAAAAAAAAAAAAAAAAAAAAGTGAACCAAGGGAAACAGACTTATGAGACATAAGTAAGTATGCATTATGGATCAATATGCATTATGAGAGTCCCAAAAGGAGGAAAGACAGAGGCAGAGAGCTTAGTAGAAAAAGTAACATCCAAAATTTTCCCAAATTTGAGGAAAGATATGTATACAGAAATCCAAGAATCTCAACCAAGAAACATCATCAACAACAGTGACTATTAAAAGCAAAAGTGATTTGACATCTACACAGGATCTTCAAAAAGACTATCAGTGGATTTTTCAGCAGAAACCTTACAGAAAATGATATATTTAGAGTGGTGAAAGAAAAAAAAAAGCCAACCAAGAACATTATATTCAACAAGGTATTATATCTACTTCAAAAATTAGGAAAAAAATTTTTAAGATACTCTCAGATAAACAAAAGCTGAGGGAGTTCATTAACAGATCTGTCTTACAAGAAATCTTAAAGAAAGTCCTTCCAGTTGAAAAGAAAGGATGCTGGGCATGGGGCACCTAGGTGGCTCAGTCAGTTGAGTGTCTGACTCTTGGTTTCAGCTCAGGTCCTGATCTCATGGGTCATGGGATGAGCCCAACAATTGGGTTCCGTGCTCAGTGGGGAATCTGCTTGAAGATTCTCTTCCTCTGCCCCACCCCCACTCATGTGCATGCACATGCTCTCTCTCAAATAATCTTAAAAAAAAAAAAAAAAAAGATGCTAGGCAGTAACTCAAAGCTATATGAAAATATAAGTTCTCCAGGAAAGGCAAGTGCATGGACAATATGAAAACTACTACTATAATTTTACTTTGTAACTCCATTTTTTATTCTCTATTTTTGAAATTTAAATCAAATTCAACTCTTTCATTTAAAAAACAAAAAACTTAAGAATTGTTAAGTCTATGTTAATAGGTACATAATGTGTAAAAATGTCATCTGTTACATCAATAACAAAGTTGGGAAGGCAAGCTGTAAAAGAGTAAAGTTATTGTTTGGGATTAAAGTTGGTATCAGTTTAAGATACATTCTTATATGTTAAGGTATTATATGTAATTCCTACAGAACCACAAAAAAAATCTACAGAATATACAAAAAGGAAATAAGGAAATCAAAACGGGTCACACACACACAAAAAAAATGAACACAAAGGAATAAAGTTAAAACATGGAACAGTTATAAGACATGCAGAAAATAATTAACAAAATGAAAATAGTAAGGCTTTCCTATCAGTAATTACTTTAAATGTAAACAGTTTAAGAAGATATGGTGTATGTGTATGTATGTGTGTGTGTCTATATGCATATAAACATATATATACACACATATACAATGAAACATTACTCATCCATAAAACCGAATGAAATCTTGCCATTTGCAAGACATGGATGGAGCTAGGGAGTAGTATACTAAGCAAATAAGTCAGAGAAAGACAAATACCATATGATTTCACTCTTGTGTGGAATTTAAGAAACAAAACATGAAAACAGGGATAAAAAAATAAATAAAAAACAGAAGAAAAATAGGCAAACCAGGAAACAGACTATTAACTATAGAGAACAATCTGAGGGTTACTGCAGGGGAGGTGGGCAGGGGGATGGGTTAAACAGGTGATGGGGATAAAGGAGGGCACTTGTGATGAGCACTGGGTGTTGTATATAAGTGATGAATCATTAAATTCTCCACCTAACACTAGCATTACACTCTATGTGAGCTGGAATTTAAATAAAAATTTGAAAAGAAATAAATGTAAACAGTTTAAACTCCCCATTCAAAAGACACAGGCAGAACGTATTTAAAACCAAACAAAACATGATGCCCCTACAGCTCTAAGAACATACATAGTTAAAATTTAAGTGCAAAAATGGCAAAAGATTTCCCATGCAAATAATAAGAGACCAGATATGGCTGTACACATATTAGACAAAATAGACTAAAGTCAAAAGCTATTGTAAAAGATGAAGAGGGACATCATATAAGCGTCAATTCACTAATTATAAACATAGCATGCCAATTATAAACACATATTCACCAAACACCAGAGCACAATATGAAGCAAACACTGACAGATAAGAAACAGCTCTACAATAATGGTAGGAGGCTTCAGCACACAACTTCAATAATGAATAGAACCACCAGACAGAAGATTAAGAAGGAAACAAACATGTATGTTTTAATAAAACATACATGAAACACTCTACTCAATAAGAGCAGAATACACAATTTTCTCAAGTGCTCATGAAACATTCTTCAGGACAGGTCATGTATTAGGCAAAAACAACAACAACAACAATAAAAATCTGAATTTTAAGAGATTGAAATCCTTAGATGATATCACGAGAAAGAAGAAATCACAAGAACTTAAGAAAAATTAAAATGAAAGCACAACATACCAAAATTACAGACTGCAGCAAAGACAGTCCTGGGAAAACTTACAGCTGTAACTGTCTATATTAAAAAATAACAGCCCAAATTAACACCTTAAATTTGTACCTTAAAGAAATAGAGATTAACTAAGCTCAAAGCTACAAGAATAAAGTTTAGAACAGAGATAATTAAAAGAGAACAGAAAACCCAACAGAGAAAACTGATGAGATCAAAAATTGGTTCCTCAAAAATCTTTAGCTAATAAACTAAGAGAAAGAAGAATTAAACAATTAAAATCAAGAATATCAGAGGGAATCATACTATCGATTTTACAGAGAAATAAAAGATTTTAAGAGAGTACTATGAACAACTGTACATCAACAAATTGGATACCCTCGATGAAATGGATAAATTCCTAGAAAAACATACCCTACTACTAATGAATCATCAAGAAATGGATAATCTGAACAGACCTATAATATGTAAGGACATTTACTCACTGATCAAAAACCTCCCAAAAACAGAAGTCTAGGACAAGATGATTTCACTTGTGAATTCTACCAAACATTTGAGAACACCAATCCTCCTCAAACTTTTCCAAAAAAAACTAAAGAGAAGGAAATACTTCCAAACTCAGTCTATGAGGGTCAGCATGAATCTGATACCAGAGACAAAGATGCTACAAGGAAATTACAGATCATTACCCCCAAAGAATATTGACACA